TTTGATGCCAGGGTGGCGGAAGAAACATTAAAAAAAGTGGTCCCACATTCGGTAGCAACTGCTTTAGCCAGCAGTGTTTTCCCAGTGCCAGGTGGACCAAACATAAGAACACCCTTCCATGGTCTCCTGATTCCCTGGAAATAATCAGGCATCAATAAGGGAAGAACCACGGCTTCTTCTAGAAGTCTTTTGGCTTCAGTCAGTCCTGCCACGTCATCAAATCTCACTCCGGGGGCTGCATCTAAGACATCGCGTTCCAGTTGGGCTGCCAGGTCAGCATCAGGCCCTTCGTACTGCCCACGTTTTGACTTTCCCTCTTCACTCTCACTGTTCTGGTTATTATAAGTGCAAAAAGTGTTGCTCCAATATTAGAATGTAGATCCATGAATTAAACTTAAATAAATAACAATTGAAAGTATCTCATGTTTTGGTAATTTTTTAGAACATGATCAGAAATTAGAATGCAGAATAAGAATGAAGAACAACGAGCACGATTAAGAAATATTGGGAAGAAAAACTTACAGCAGCATCATCTTTCCCAGTGTTTGATTTTCCTGAAGCAGTTCCTTTTTTCCCAGTAGTTGAAGATCGTATTCCTGAGTTAACTTTACTAGAAACACCAGTTTTCCCTCCACGAGCAGTTGCTCCACCTCTGGTAGCAGAACTCCGAGCCCAAACACCATCTTGATTTGCCTTTCTTGTACCTCCTGGGCCAGCTCTTGCAGATCTTCTATTTGAAGTGTCACGATTTGGAGGTCTCCATACATCAGGATCATCCATGGAAGGAGCATTAGAAGAAGTTGGGTACTCATCTAATGGCTGAAAAACAAATGAAGATTTTTTTGCAGAAATTGGAGGTGAAGAAGATCTCCGACCCATTATAGTCTCCTTCAATGATCTCTTCTCGGCATCCAATTGCTTTACAACCTCAGTCTCCTCTAACAGATTTTTCTTAACGTTTGTCCACTTTGCACGAACCATTGGATCATCAAGGGAGTTTAAGTGCCTAGAAGAAAAAACAACGGTTTTTTTTGTCTCAAACAGTATCCAAATACTCATGATTCAGATCATAAAACAACGGAGAATGGTTGAAATCTAGATCTCAAGCTATATTCCATGACGGAAATATAACCTTCTTAAAGTAGTTACAGTGTTTACTTCAGTTGCAAGAGCTAATTGTAGCTAAAAGCAATGAATGCTCGATACTTCGTTACAATGCTCTTTGCTTTAGGACTTATTTTTCTTTTGATTTACCTAATCTACCAACAGATCCTCTGTACTTAGTCAAAATACAAGCTATTTCAAGTATAATAGATTTACAGTAATGTCTGTTAAACAAATCCAACAGTCATCTAAATTTCTTCACATATAATTTAATAGTATGAAGAAAGTATAATGTGTGTTTCGGTGATACAGATAGAGTTACTGAGAGAGAGAGAGAGAGAGAGAGAGAGAGAGAGAGAGAGGTGTACTTATTGATCTGTGCGATGGCGCCATCGAAGAAGATGACGGAAGTATCATAGAGACCTTCAAGTGCATATTCCCTCGCTAATTTCAGATGATCCTGTAATCCGGCAAGCGATGTGCCTGACATGTGTAATAGATCGTAATACCACCACCACAACTCTTTCCTAGGGTTTGGTGCTACAGCTTCTGTAGGCGAAGAAGAAAAGCTTTTGGAGGAGGCTCTGCTCCGAGCAGAGGATACGACGGCGACTTTTGAACGATGGAGGAGACTGTGTGTGGTTTGACTGTTTTGCCCTCTTCGTTGATATACCAGACGCCTGCTATAACGTGCAACCCACGTGCCCACGTAACTTGGTTTAAGAGATATAAAACCCGATCTTTCACTTTTTGACCAACACCTTTCGCATCTCATCTTCATCTTAACATATCAATATCACAAGCTCAATCTCTCGGGCAACATCTTGAGTCTTGGTGGACTTATACTATTTGGTGTCACTATTTTTTGTACTCAATTTTGTTGCTTTATTTATCCGATGGGAAGTTTGGAAAGACCGCAATAACTGTAACATCCGAAGTCTTGAAGGTCAATTATGGAAATAAATTCCTTTTTTAAAGGCTAACTCGTCGAGTTTATGGCATAAACTCGACGTGTTGGAAGCTTTTGGGTGTGTGTTTTTAAGAACCAACTCGTCGAGTTGGTGAAGAGAACTCAACGAGTTGGACGCTATTTGTGAAACCATAATTTTTGGGTTTTGCACCCTATTTAAACATCTTAAGTTCTAGGTGATGGTCTCATTCCCGGCCTCCATAGCGCCTAACCCTAATCTCGAAACCCTAGAGTCTCCTTGAGTGTTGTGAGCTCATTGTGGGTGTGTTTTAGTGTGTTGGAAGCTCATGGAAGGAAAGAAAAACTTAGTGTAAGGTGGTGGTTCAAGTAGGAGCTTTCAGATCTTGATTCTCTTCTCCAATTTTAGCACATTTTGGCCTGGGAAGCCGGCAGGGCGGCGACTAGGGATTTTCCTTCAGGGAGCTTCTGCATTCGAGGTGAGTTTTCTTTACTGTATTTGCGGGTCAAAGCTTTTGGATTGTTATACTAGTTTATCATATGTTTGTATGTTGTAGTGATCTGTTGGATCGGTATCTAGGTAGATAGGATGTTGATATACCTAGTGATATATTAGATCTTCCTGTTATCTGTTCCGGCTATATGTTTACCGGTTGCATGTGCATGAGTTATGTGGTTGGGTTGAGACTATACTGCTTTGTGCTGCCAGTCAACAAACCCTATAATAGTTATATTGGTATGTTATATGTCTGCTTATCTGTTATGTGTATGTCGACATGGTTGTGTGTGGTTGGGTTGAGGCAAACCTGCTTAGTACCGAAGGCCAACAGACCCAGGGGTCCCGGATAAATTGAAGGCCGGTAGGATATACCAGTCAGGCCGAAGGCCTGGAGAACGGTCCAGACAGGCTGAAGGCCCGGTTAGGCGGTCCAGACATGCTGAAGGTTCTATGAGTGGTCCAGACATGCTGAAGGCTCTGTATATATGTTGTTTCCTGTTATTTTATGATTATATGTTGTGGTGGTATTTTGGGGGAACTCACTAAACTTCGTGCTTACAGTTTTGGTTTATGGTTTCAGATACTTCAGTAGATCTTGTCAGGCTGAAGGCATAACCGTATACATCCTCGCATTTTGGACTTATGATTTTTGGGAAAACTCTAATAATATGAATGTTTTGAAAACTATGTGGGAAGCGATTCTGACTTTTAAATAATGTCTTGGAAACAAGGCTTTTTGTAAACACTTCTTTTGTTAAAGGGTTGATTTGAAAAGTTACAATTTTATTGAAATTTTTGGGATGTTACAAGTAGGTATCAGAGCCTTGGTTTGAGTGAATTGGAGGAATACTCGTGTGAATCCAGTTTCAAACTAAGGAAAAAAGATTTTCACAATGATTTTCAAATGGTTTTCAAATTACGTAAGGAGGATGCGATGTGTACGATAAGTCGAAGCCAGTAAGTAGACCCCAAAATACCATACTATTATTTGATATTGTGATATGTTAGAACAACATGCTAGTAATAGGCTAGGTATCTTCAGGAATTGCATGATGGAATTGCCTAATTATGTGATGCCTTAGTTCCTATAGAGTTTCCTTGTTTGGATTTTGTGTGACTCTTTCGCGTGTGAACTAGCTATTGAGTGGATACGCTAAGTCACATGCTACATGATTTAAAGGATCTTAGGATGAAGGGTTTGGTCATGCTTCGCAACTGTTGTCTGAGCCCAACCGTTGTAGGATTGAATCTTTTAGCCTAATATTGTTTAAGCTGTGGGGCATGTGACTGTATTCATGTGATAGTCGTCTGGCACCAATAGAGATTCGTGTCATAAATATGGTATGGTGAGTCGTATTGGGTCAGACGGCCAGTAGCATTATTGAATGAGGTAGCGGTGGTTTCCCTGGTTTGGGCACGATTTATAGTGGGTCGACATGAGGAAGGATTAGCCACGAGAGAGAGAGAGAGAGAGAGAGAGAGAGAGAGAGAGCAGGGCGAAGATGCACACGAGATGTTAGGAGTCTGAGATGGAGGATTTCATAGGAGGATCTGTCGGATCTTATTGCATTTTAGTGTTAGTCGGATCCTCTGCACGAATGTTGCTTGCTTTGTGCTTCGTGGAACTCATGAGTGATGTGAGTTAGCCATTAAGTGAATATGTCAAGTCACATGTGAAAAAGGTTGGATAATCTCAGAGTGACGGATTTGACCCTGCTTCGTAGCTCTTGTCTGAGTCCAACCGTTGTAGGGACAAGTCTGCTACTTGATGGATTATTTGAGCTATGTCGCATGTGATTGTATTCAAGGAATGGCTAATAGACATTGTGAGGAGTTCTTCATGCCACCAGTTCTGTTGAATGTTCGAGGCTTGGAATTTGAGAAATCTTTGTAGGTGAAGACTTTTGTAGGCCCTTGGTTCATTCCTTGGTTTGAGCTCCCAGTTTCTTGACCATTACCGCCACCGTTGTTTCCATTATGAATATGTGCCAATGTTGCGGTGACCGTAGCCAATATTGCTGCCTGGAATGCAACAGAGTCTACCTCCGACAGAGGCAGTGGTGGTGGTAGTGTCGTGTTGTTTTTGCATACCAGTCTTTGAGGCATCTTCTGTCATGGAATAGGAAGATAGTGAGTACATAGAAGTTCATGGTTTCGATTTCCTTCATCATTTAGTGGTTTCGATGGTTCGTTTGTGTATATAAGTGAATTTACACAATATAATGAAACAAGGAAAATAGAACACATAGCAGATAACAACATCACAAATAAAACATAGAACTATTTCATTAAGGATAAACTTTATAGTACAATGCATGAAAATTCACCTTGGAAGGCATACAGTTCATAAGGAAAATAAAATCCTTCAGCATAACGGCTCTATGAGTAGTGTAGTCACTTAATCATAGAGTCAGTTCTACCTACAATAGTGCATATAAGAGCAAGTCCTAGCGACAACAGTGGTGACACTCAGATGCCACAATGTTGCTCCAAAAGTTCAGCCAATTCACTCATCTCTCGAGTGATCACATATTCCCTTTGCTCTGCTTCGGTCGCAAAGAATTGTTGCTTGAGATTGGCTACTTCTTCCTCTAGAGTGCGTATACGGTCAGCAATGCTCTCATGCACAGTGTGCTAGCCTGGTATGGTGTCTGAAGGGTGGAGTTCACTCGAGGTTTCCCCAATGTCTTCTCCCCTATCTGACTCCTCGTCAGATTTGTCATCCTCATAATCCATCTCTAAGTATTCTTCCAGTCCTACCTCTAAATTTCCCTCTGGATCTACTTCTAGTCCCTCTTCAATGCATCCATGGGCTACTAGATCCTGATAGTAGAGGTCGCCTTGTTTCACATCTGCCATGATGTCTGCGCGGGAAGTGGAGGTGTAAGAAACGTGTAGGAAGGGTACATTAAAATATTCCTATAGTATTTTAGTCGTTTAGGTTTGGTTCCTTATAACCTTTTAGATAAATAGATGGTAAGTTTCTAGATTCATTGCCCATCACGATCACTCCCGAACACATGTTGGTCATATTTTGAATAAATGTAGTTGATCAGGCTATATTTACCCCTAATACGACTTCATGACTGTCTGGGTTTAACCACGATGTTCAATTCCTCCAAAGACTTTTATTGTTTCTTATCGTTACAGTACTCTAAAATGAACACATAGGCACCCAATATGTAGTATGTTGTACTATTGTATGTGTGATGATGATGTTTGTCTTGATTCAATTATATACACTGTGATGAGATTACAAGATGAAGTCACCTAACCCCCGGATGTTTCTGCCATTTTGGTTTGGGGGTGTGACAGATTGGTATCAGAGCATTGTTTATAGTGAACTGACATATCTAATCATACAAGATATGCAACTATAAATACATTGGAACTAAAATATAGCCTGATCAACTATATTTTCTATTGTAAGTGGAAGGTAGTGTATGATGTATGTTTCCCAAAAAATCTGATATTTTCTGCTTGTAAAAGTGTTGTGGTCTAAAAACCCTAAGACCGAGTAACAATGTATGTATGATTTTGTATCACTAGAAATGTATATGTACTCTATAAATTTACAATAGAGTTAATCTCTATGGGAGTCGTTATAACCATGCTTGATATGACTGATCTGTTTGTCATGAAGTTTTTCAGACATCAACTTGTTTAAGGTAAGACATTTGTCACCTTAGACTGGCCTATTCTAGCTGTAGCAAACAGCTCAGGTGCGGGGCTGTCAACCCCGTATAGATCTATACACAAACTCTCGCTCTCCCTCCAGGAGACTCTGGTTATAACTAAATAACTTAAGGTTGTACACTAGGTAGGTACGAATGAAAGAACGTCTCATAAGAAACTTAACTAAAATTTACGCGAACAATCTATCACATTGTTTTCTGTTTTAAATTAATGTTTTCGAGTGTGCATTTGATCACAAAATATTGGTGATGAAAATACCACTTGTTTTTATCAAAGTGTCAAGTATTGTTTGTTATTGGCCCGATTAACATAAAATGTGACGTGAGGCCTAATAAGAAAATCAATGGGCCCATAAGGCTCAAGTAACATGTAATGAGTGTACAGGGCCCAATAAGCATATAATTGGGTCATTAAGGCCCAATAAACATGAAATATGTATACTAGGCCCAATAAAAGAATGAATGGGCCTATAAGGCCCAAATAACATGTAAGGAGTGAAAGTGACTTAATTAGCCCGTTTGATATTATAATACATTGTTTTCGCTCAATTAATATCAAGATAACATAGAACGCCCACTTTTCATTGAAATTGACATTCTTAGCCCATCAAGCCGAGAATTTACATTATAAGTCCATTTTTGATGAAAATGACACTTTAGGCCTATTAAGACCGAAAGTTTACATTTAAGGGCCCATTTGAATAAAATGACATTTTCAATCCACTTTTGTTAGAAATAACATTTTCGGCCCAATTTTGTTAGAAATAACATTTTCGGCCCAAATAAATTGGGAATGACACCCAAATTTAACATAAATAACATTTTAAGTCCATAAAGACCAAAAGTTTCATTTTCGGCCCATGAAACCGTGAATTTCTAAATAAGGCCCATTTTATGAAAATTAACTATTTTAGCCTATTAAAACCGTGAAGGCCCAAATAGAAGCCCATTTTGTGAAAATTAACACTTTTGGCCCCTTTAAAACCATGAATATCGTAAAGATCCATTTTTTTTATCTAAAAATCATTCTTTTGGTCTTTTCAAAACTGTAAGTGTCATAAGGGCTTCATCTTTTATTTATTTGCCAAATATGGCCCCTTATACGGTTTTATTTAGTTTTCAAACGTCATTAGCATGTTTAATCCTTTCAACTTCATAGTAAGTCACATAAGATGGTTTAGTTTACAAAAATAACCAAGTTTAGTATATATTTTGAGTTTGGTGAAGATTTAACATGTTTTGATAACATAATCACAACATATAACATAAAAAAAACACATACATGCATAAATACATAGATCTAACACAAAAGAAACCTTTATCCTCCCCCAAAACATAGTAAAAACCGAAAAAAATGGGGTATGAACTCACTTTGGGTGTTGGATCGGTTTTTGAAGAGAAGAAGAAGATGTTTCGGTCTAGCAAGTTCCCTTGATGAGATCTTCGAACTTAAGGAGTTCTAAGAAGCAAGAGTCATGAAATAGAGTGTTTATGAGTGATAAGTTTAACATAAAAAATAAAGTTAAACTTCTTGAATGGAAGTAGCTTACCAAAAATGATGAACTTTGATGACAACTTCTTGAACACACACATAAGCACACACAAATTTTGAAGAGGAAGTATGGGATTTTTCATGGAGTTCTAGAGAGGATTTTAGTGATTTGGAAGTGGAAATGAAGGTGGTGGTGGGGGTTCCTTTGGCCGAGAATAAGAAGAAGGGAGAGGTAAAGAGTTTAGAGTTATTACTTAATGGTTAATTACCATCTAGCCTAGATATTTGGAGTGTAATTTGCATGGATACTCTACATATAATAGTAAGCTGTCAAGTATACCTTTGCCCCTTATTTATTTATTTATTTATTTTACAAACATATATATATATATATATATATATATATATATATATGTGTGTGTGTGTGTGTATATAACCGAGCATGAGAAGGAAAGAAAGAAAAACATGGACTTTGGACTTGATATTGCATTGGATCATTAGAGATTTTTGATCCATGTAGGCCCATATATGTGTTTACGGCCCAAAGGAGAAAATATATGGGTTTTCACCCCATTACAATCAAAGGATATGGTTTACGGTCCAATAAGGCTCATGATGAGTCTTACGACCCAAAATCAATTACTTAGCGAATGTGGGTCCAATTAGGGCCCAGATGAGGTATCTTAATCCCAAAATAATCAAGTTGTGAGTTTATTGTCCCATTAGGCCCAATAAATGATTCATGGCCCAAGAAGGGTTTGAATCAGGAAATTAGGGTTTCAAGCCCCAAGTTGAGTGAGTTTTGATTCGAATTGTCATTGTTGAGTAAATATCTTGCATTGTATTAACATTAGGGTTATAATGTATGCTACAAGTTAAATACACATGGATAGAATTTTCTAGCCCTGTCATGCTAGTTGTGACACGGTTGTTTCACTGTTGAGCAGGTATCAGGAACATTTTGTGACTAGGTCGTAGAGTACCCTAGATAGTTCTTGAGGAAAGTATTGATAGGTGTGGAAAGTAGTATTGGGCACGTACTACTGAAAGCATGGGATCCGTACTCGACTCAAGGAAGATTTCGGGGAATCTAAGGGTTGGTCAGGGAAGATAGCATGGTTGGATACCATGGTTCGAGGTAGTGGTTTTGTATCTGTCGATCTTTTGGCTTGGGTTGCTCAGGTAAGGATTGGTGTTGTGTTTGTTTAGGCTATATGGCGAAATCGATGTGGGTTGAGTGGTTCGGTCCCAGATAAGCATGTTGATTGGAAGTATCAAGGGTTGTTTTAGAGGTCGTTCCTCGGGCCTCAAGACATGGGAAGGAAGCAGTTGATATGATCGGTTTGGTAATGGACATGAGGTGATAATCGGTGGTGGTTGTGGTGTTGATAGAAAAATGTGTTGGATTTGGTGTCTAAGCCCATAACTATAATTGGTATGTACTTGATTTGATGGTAGCATGGTCCTTTTGGGTTGCTTTCACTCATGCAACTTGACAGGATGACTAGTAGAGAGAGAGAGAGAAAGAGAGAGAGAGAGAGTAGGATTTATTATTTGAAATAATAAATTGGTACTCAAAATGATTTTATTAATATATTATAAGACTAATATATTATTTAGAAATCATATTATTAATTGGTGATTAATCAGAAATTAATTATATATTAATTTTGGGATTAAAGGAACTGATAAATAATGGAGTGGCTGTTTTGCAAATCATTGATAGTTGCAGAACTAGGATATTGAACTCCTTGTAAGTGGAGTGGATGAAATTTATAGGTAACCCCATAAGATTTCGTCTAAGGCCTTATACGGAGGAGTCCATGGGTTGCTTAGGCCTTAAGCAAGAATCAGGGTTTCCTCCAGAAACCTAAGCAGCCCACGGCTATATAAGAAACCCTCCAAGCCTTGGAATTTCAACCACTGAACTCTAGATTGAAACCCTGGCCAATTACCTTGTCTCTCCTTCTCATCCTTTGCATTGGGTGTTTGTGACTCCATTAGAGGTGAAACACTTGGGGCATTAAGCTTTCAAGAGTCAAGGATCTTCAAAATTGTTCTTTTTATTACAATATAACAAGTGAGGTAATCTTCTAACCCTAATTTCATATGAATCTCGAGTTTTGTATGCTAAATCTAAGGTTATTGCTTTGGTGTTCAAATTTGTATGTTCAATAGAGAAAAACTTAGATCCAAAGCAATTATGAGTGCATGATCACATAGGAATGTAAATATGCTCATAAGCCATCAGTGGTATCAGAGACTAGGATTGTTTTGATGCAAGAGTGAACTGTCCAAAGTGATTGAAAATTGAAAATTGTTGTCCAAATATTGGAACTCGACGAGTTCAGAGTCCAAATCGATGACTTGACTTGTTAGTTTCCTGATTTTTCGATTTTCAGATTAGATTTTGAATAGGATAATTACCATAACTCATTTTTATTACCTGAAATCGATTTTTCTGAATGGTAACATGATATCCTTATCAAAATTGAAGGATTTGGTTGAATTTGGATAATATAAGATTATTTTGATTTTAAATTTAACCTAGCATTTTTTGAAAGGTTTTAAAATACACCCTTATGGTTTTATAGTTTAAATTTGAAATTAAATGGTTTGGATTTTAGAAATTTAAATGGTTAAACCCTAGTATTTTTGAAAAGTTCAAAAAT